GGGACGGTGACCAAAAGTTTATACCTCCCAACTAAGATATCATTTGTCATGGCAAAAGTAGATATTTTGGGGGTAGTCAGGGCCTCAGAAAGAATATAATACACCCACATACCAGACATGAGGGAACAAACATTTGGTATGCATCAATCAAATGACAATTTATTCAGTACAGAGAAGTCAAATGGAGAAAGATAAAATGAGTAAGAAGCAACAGTAGCACTAAATCCTGCAATGTACACTTACATATAAATAGATTATGATAGCGTGACTGAGGATTTGTAACATAAGAGATAAGGACTGTTGAAATGGAAAACACATTATCAGACAAAGCAGGATTCAAGATCAAATGTTAAAGAGGACAAAAACAGATGTTCTGTATCATGAAGAAGATATGTCATACATCTATGTAACAAAAATCTACGGATGCCAAATACACAACACGAAACTAGAAATATAAGGAAACTGAATAAAATACCAGTATGATGGAAGATTTTAATATTTTTTCAAAAATTAAAAAATCAGGGAGTCAGAAAATAGCAATATAGGAGATTTGAAAACACAATCAACAAGCTCAATTTTATCTATAAATTTATATCAGAAATGGAAAAATACACACTATACTACACAGCCGGTGCTGCATTTCCCCTCATAAAAAACTATTAAGTGCCTTGCCCAAAAAGAAAACTATAAAATTCCAAAAAAATGTAGAGGCTATCCAAGCTATACTTTGAACCCAAACCAATAAAATTAGAGATCAACACTAAAGAGACTAATAAAAAACTTTTTACTACTTGGAAGTTATAAACACTACTGTAAAGAAATCAAAAGTGATATGTATAAAAAACTAAAACAGACTTGCCATATGATCCAGCAATCCCATTCCTGGGCATATATCCAGAGGGAACCTTAATTCAAAAAGACACATGCACCCCAATGTTCACAGCAGCACTATTTACAATAGCCAAGACATGGAGACAACCCAAATGTCCATCAACAGATGATGGAATAAAGAAGATGTGGTATATATAAATATACCATATATATATATATATAAAAATATATATAATGGAGTACTACTCAGCCATAAAAAAGAATAAAATAATGCCATCTGCAGCAACATGGATGGAACTGAAGATCGTCATTCTAAGTGAAGTAAGCCAGGAAGAGAAAGAAAAATACCATACGGTATCACTCATATGTGGAATTTAAAAAAAAAAAGACACTAAAGTGGACTTACTTACAAAACAAAGGTATACAAAGGTATAGCTCGGTAGTAGAGCACAAGCTTAGCTTGCCTGAGGTCTCGGGTTCAATCCTATTAAAACAACAACAACAACAACTCCAGCGCAGCAACAGGCCGACCCTGAGGGTCTTAGGAGAAGCATGACAGATGAGGTCAATAACTAAATAAATCACAGACTAGAAAAATGTGCAGCAAAGGTATTAGAAATGTAATCGGCTAAATGAACTAAAGACTCTAAGTAGAAAATGGGGCACAAGATTAGAACAGGTGATTCTTCAAGTATTACCTGACTCTACTAGGAGTAAGGTCAAAGCAGATTGACCTTACAAAGCAGAATAAATGATGACAGAGAGAGAGAAAAAATATATATATGTTTTTTACTTGTGATATTGGCTCTAACACCCATTGTTTGTAAGACAGGGGAATGGGCCCTCCCATATATTCCTCTGGGGGTGTGAATTGCTACAATCCTGAAAACCTCAGCATCCAACAAATATTTCTTTAGTACCTGCTATGCACTCTGCTGTTCTAGGTGAACAACAATAAACAAAATAGACCAAAATGCCTGCAATTCTGGAATTTACACTCTAACAAAAAATAATTTGCTAATATCTAGTAACACTTTTTAATATCACATATCCTTTCGCTTGTCAATCACAGCTTGCGGGAATCCATCCCGCAGAAATCAAAGCATAAGTGAATAAGGATTATATGCACAAGGATAGTTACTCCAGCATTCTTGTATTGGCAGAAAACTGGAAACAATTCAAATGTCCATCAAAAGGGGAATGGTTGACTATATTAAGGTGGGTACAATCTCTGGAAAGTTTTTCACCTATTAAAGAGAAGGAGAAAGAGCTTGGTGGTCTACTTTCCCAGAGGGATGGATATGATATATTAAGTGACTTGCTAAGATGCGTAATCTCATTTTGGTAAAAAAAAAAAAAAAAAAAAGGAAATTCCTCGAAGCCTCCTCTTGCTGTCTTTACATATCTATCTTTGTGCCTGTTTGTATGAGCATGGAGGGAAGGCATACAGTCTGTTAACTAAGATTACCTCTAGGAAATTGGCTTGAAGGAGGTGTAGAGATGAGATCATTAAGCTGTCTTTATACTTACTTTGTATTGTACAACATGTTACAGTAACATGTATTTTACAACTGAAAAAATCTAATAAAACTAAAACTCAATAAATATATTTTTTAAAGGATAGTAATGTTCTGGGTAATGGGATAAGAGGAGACAGCATTTTACCTTCTTTCTGTACCATTCTAAATTTTCCATATTCTCTCCAAAAAGAATGTTATTAAACACCCTACCCGCTTGCTCCTTTCTCTGGTTGGGGACCGAGCAGGCTCTCCATAGCTCACAGAGGGTAAAGTGGGCCCCACACCTTCAAGTGACTGGCTGCATCAGCCAATGCCTAGACTGCAGGGAAGTAGATTTGGCCTCTGGGTCTCCCAACCCAGCTTTACTAGATGAAGTCACACACCCAACTGGTGGTTTCTTAGGTCTATTTTCAATGTGGTTAGAGCCCAGAGAGGACGGGTGTGATTAGAACCTCCCACACCCCATCGGATGGTTCTGCAATACCTCCCCTTATTTCAAAGAAGTTCCGGCAAAAGGAAATGGGTTCTGCATTTAAAGCCCAACACAAGCATGAAGGAAAAGCAGAAATTGGCCTCTCTTGAAAAGTAAAATAATATAGGTCTAGTTAACTTTTTTTTAGCAACACGCTTAGATATTTCTAAATATGATCATTCACATCATGAATGAACAAACATCATCTAAAAGCCCTAGGCAGGCTTTTTGTAGCAAACTGTCCAATTGGCTTTACAGCATCAGCAGATCACTACAAAGCCAAATCTTTGTGTTCACCAATACAAGCAACATAAGCAAGACGAGAGACCAAGAGAAAAGGAAAAACCAAGTAAAGGAAAATAATTCTTGATTTTTTATTTTGACCACAAACTTGGTCAAACTTGGTTAAGAAATTCCATCTCAGAGGTCATGAAAACGATTTTAAAGTCCAAGTAGGTACAGATGCTACAACCACCTCTGGTCAACAGTGATACCCTCACTGGTGCTAGAAGTGCTGAACCACCGAAGGGGTAGCATCATTTTCGGCTTACATCGTGTTGGGGATTTACTGTGAGATTTAAGCCTCATTTCTGCGTTGTGTGTGCCTTGTCTATAGCCAACACTCCACTAGGGTAACTTAAAACAAAATAGGAATTTATTTACAACAGCAAAGATGTCAAAAATAACAGAAACAATGTATGACAAATCCAAGAATTATTTTATGAAAAAAGCAAACAACATATACACAAAACAAAATCCCAAAGGGCAAACTTAACTTTGACCTTATCTAGACAGCTGCAGAATGTGGCAAAATGTTTTTTCAGATATGAATTACTTAAGTAATGTTGAGCCAATTAAACGCACACTTTTCAGCTCCTTTTTTTCACTTGCTGAAACTTTCTTTGAATTCTATTTACCTTTGAGGAATATTAACTTTGGGGAGCCACACAAGATTTACGAAGCACAGGTTATTTACAAGTGTACTGAAGAATATACTTACTGATCAACAGGCTCACATTTCAAAGAGGGTAAAGTTGTGTAAGAGTGAAGGTTAATAAACTGAGTCCCATTTCACCATCACTGCTTGTTTCTGGGGTTTGGGTGCGTGTGTGTCTTGTCTACTACACAAAATGCTGCACCGGTAATCTTTTAAGTTCAAGTGCTGTAACAGTGCTTCTCAAACTGAAGCATGTACCAGAATCACTTAGAGGACGTGTTATAAGACACAGATCTCTGGGCCCCACACCCAGTTTCTGATTCAGTGGGTCTGGGGTGAGGTTGAGAAGCTGCATCTTTAACTAAGTCCAGCTGATTATAATGCCGCCACCACTGCCAGGCCGCACTTTGAAAACACTGCTTTTAAGATTTCGACTGGTCAAGCTTTTCCTTATGCGAATCCTAGAATTTGTGAGAAATAAAGGAAACTTAACACTGAGATTCTGAGGACAGAGTAGTACATTATCTGACTGGCTGGAATCACAGACCAGTATGATGTTATCTGGCAGTCGTTCTACTAGAATTAAGTCTTTCAGCATGCTACGGTCTTGTCTTGTTTATGGCCCTGGACAGTGACATTGATCATGTTTTCTTGGTCACTGACCTCACTGACCTCAAATTTTGATTATTTACTGTTCCAGCATAGTTAAATAACTGCACGATCTCATCTTTAAAAATCAAAGATGATTCAAATCTATCTCATTTTCTTCTGACTCCTGCTAACTTTTAACTAACTTCTTTTTTCTAAAAATGACCATGATCATTCTCTAGTATCTGAGTGTCTATAGAATCCCTCCAAACTGGGCACAGAGGGGTAACTCAAGGGGAGGGTTTCTGCTGTGGAGGTGGGGACAATCCCACTGATTAAATGTGCTGTAGACTGATACTGAAATACACTTTTAAGTGCTCTCAAAAACCACTTTATGCATGGGAAATTTTATCTCAGGGGAATGAGAGATGCTAATAAAACAAATCCTGTATGAAGATAAAAGAAAAAATGAATTGCAAGGACATGCTCATCAAAGGACTCACCAATCACCTCTTAACTTCTCTAAAATGTTACTTGCAAATTCGCAGAACTGAAATATTAGTATTTAAATCCAGGTCACAAAATTCAAAGCCATCAAGCATTTTGCATTCCACTGCTGCATATAAGGAATTAAGAAATGGGGAAATGAAAATAATCCACTGCTTTTGATGTTTATTAGGTTTACAAAAACTGTACATTTTTTTTCTTAAGAAAAACCATTAACTTAGTACTGGTATCAAATAGACTAAACATTAACAGGAAAATATTCTGATTTTTATTTTTGCACGTTATTCTCAAGTACACAATTACAATAATGTCACACATCCCTATATGATTTTCTTTTTATGTATTTTACTTTTTTTACAAAGTGTACAGAGGGAGGGACATACAATATTTAATAGGATATTTCTACAGAACAATAACTTATATTATGTCCTTGTAAAAATCTGTACCTCTTTAAAACATTTAACTGAAACATCCATTTTTTTTAGCTTTGCTAATCAAAATTGTTTTAAGAATTAAAACTAGGTTGTAACTAATGTCAGTACATAACAGTGACTACAACTTCATTTTCTCTTTATACAGACAAATACATTTTATCATATTCACTTGACCAAACCCTTAAATACCTTTTAAAGGTTTCAATATTGTGCTTTAAAAAGAAAAGAACTGTGTATGATTCCAGACTATGTAAGAGAAATATAAAGTGTGTAAAGTGTTGTGTTCTTTATCTTTCAGTTTATTTAAAAAAATATAGTTAAAGGACCAATTATTTATATTTTCTGTATTAACTTTTACAGGATGTTCTAAAATTAATAAATTTCCACTTTCATTTAAGTGTTTTCTTTTACATTATTTCTGGGAAAAATTTAAATTAAGGGAGATTTTAAAGGTTCTCACAAAAAAACAGACAGAGCGTTGAAGAAAAGTACTGCAGGGTAATGAATCACACAACTGTAAGTTACTTTAAAGAAAGAAAAAGAAAGCACATTATGGGGCCAAGAGGGCATAGGGGCTCCTATGCCGTGGCTTTGACTGGCATTCGGGTTGGAGTTCATACCAGCCTAAAGCACTTGATTTAGAGCTGGACTAAATCAATCTAGCACTTCAGAGGCTTGCCAAACACTAGATACTTCGACTTCTAACCCTATAAATAACTCTCGCCTACAAGTATCAATGGCAAAGAGAAAGATGAAAGGTAAAAACCCAATAGCACGAAGGCGATGGAGCACCATAATGAAGTGGCTAGGCAGCTACCAGTGGGAAGAAAATTCCTGCCTCTCAATGATGTGCCAGATACTCATGCGCCAACAGCCAATTGGGGCCCCCAAAATGGTTTTCTGTTCTCCAATTTATCTTAACATAATCAAATTCTAATTAACCAAGTTCGTTTTTATGAATTTTTGATACTGATTTGGAACTATGTGTTAAAAAATGTCAACTTTCAAAGAAAAACCAAACTGTGAAAGAGTAGGTGATGTTCCAAATAAGGCCTCAGATTTTTCTCATGCACTTAAAACATACCTTTATCTTCTAATCAAAGTCAACTTAAGCATTAAGTTTTTTAAAGTTTGCTGACTGTAACTAAGAAATAACAGAGCAGGCTGGACTTGCCAAGTTTAAGTCGTAATTAGCACCCATTCTCTGGTCCACGGAGCTGCTGCTTCCTTTGTCCCCCCACACTTGGTGACACAGAGTTCCCTCACAAGCTTCCCAGAGACAACTGACAGAGTTAGGTCTGGATACTCATTAGCTTTTCAGAAAAATATAAAGGCATGGAGCTGAAGTTATATGAAAACATTCTATCTAGAAACATCTTAACTTCTATTTTTCAGTTACCAAAGATATTTAAAAGAAAATACCTTTACTCTTTAAAAATACTAGTGTCCTTATTTTCCTTCTAATTCTTCACCTGAGTAGTCTCTCTGAAGAGCATGATTAACAAAATGCTCTCTCATGCATCCCTGCATCTTTCATGTTATCGTAAATTTAATACTTTTCATTATAGATTTTAAACAACTACTACTTGGGGTTGTGTGTATAAATATGTAAAATAAGCAATACACACAGATACATGTTATATATATGTGCATATACATAATTCAGGGTACATTTACATATATAAAGTTGCAAAAGATCCTATGAGCCACGAATTACCTCTAGGAGATTCCAAATGCAGTCCTCAATAAGTCTCATTTGTAGCACACAACCATTCCAAGACAAAGCAGCACAGACAGAATAATCAAAATACAACATGATCAAGCAAAATTGTTCAATAAAGTTTTCTAAAATTTGCTATGCTGACAACAGATGTAAATACTCCAAAGAAAGCCTCCCCAAAAGTATATTGCGTCCGAACAAAATGAAAAGTAACACGAACCCAGCCACTGCTCTTTACTCGGCGATGCCAGGGACACAAAAGCTCAAATGGAAACTTCCATTGTCATGTGGTCTGAAAATATTAAACAAGACAAGTAAATGAATTCTGTTAGGATAATTAGACCTGACCGTAAAAATCTCCCAATTTATGTTAGTAGATGTCTCTGACAATTTTATTGTGAGAAATTTATGGGAAAAGAGAGAGTCAACATGAGTACTGTCAGAGCTACCAATCTAAAGTTACCTTAACTTTAAGTTAAATGGTCTTAGAAGAGTACCATCAAGGTAAGCACGGTAAATATTTAAATAAATATAAAACTTCTAAGATAGAAAAATTCAGTATAGAATCAGGGATTACTTTATTAAAAGCAACTTGCTTGTTGCCACTTTTCCCCATTTATTAAACAAACTGAATAGAATTCAGAACACACTATTGAACAAAATGTAAAAAAAAAGTCAACTAGAAGCAGTAATTCTATTTGTACACAGCATAAATCAATATACAGTATTGTATGTGAACGAGACTGATTGGCTTTAAAATGAATTTTCTGCTTCAATGCCAACATCTCTACAAACGTCTGTGTAAGAATCGTTAGGGCAGGCCAACTTCTTTATGATGTCGCATTATGTGCTGGTTCTTCTCTGAAGGTCTTCGGAACCCCTTCTTGCAGTACTCACAGCGGTGAGGGTAGTCTTTCGTATGAATGGAAATAACGTGCCGTTTAAAGCCTGAGGCATCTGTAGTGCTATACTCACAGTACTCACACTGATACACCTTCCTGCCACTGTGTGTCTTCATATGCTTTTTAAGCTCATTCTGTTGCCTAAATCCCTTTCTACATCTCTTACACCTGAACGGAAGATCTTTCGTGTGAACTGAGAGAATATGGCGACTTAGAACAAATGGATCTGCAATCTTAAAGTCACAATGTCTACACTGGTGCATTTTTTTACCCTTGTGGGCAGCCACATGCTTCTTGAGTTCAGAAGGCCTGTGAAAGCCTTTGTCACACATGTCACACTTATGGGGGTAGTCCTTCGTGTGAACTGAAATGATGTGTCGTTTCAGGTCGCTTGAGTTCGAGCTCTTGTGGTCGCAATGCAAACACTGGTGTGTTTTGCTTTCTTGGTGGATAAGAGCATGTTGCTGCACCTCTTTGGTATCGGAGAAAGTCAGAAGACAAACGTCACACTTGAATGGCATCTCTTTACTATGCTTAGTTTTTACGTGTGTTTTCAAGTTAGAAGAGTCTGCAGACCTGTATTCGCAGTACTGGCACTGGTACGGCTTCTCCCCGGTATGGATTCGCATGTGCTTTTTGAGCTCTGAGGGGTGTCGAAAACCTTTACCGCACTCCACGCATATATGAGGAAAGTTCTTGCTGTGGACCGCCAAGAGGTGGCGATTCAGTAACCCCTGTTCAGCGGTCTCGTATTCGCAGAATTTACACTTGTGCATTTTGTTGGCTCCTTTTTCCTTATGCACCATTTTGTGAGTAAACAAAGCCCCAGCATGAGAGAAATGCTTCCCACACTCATCGCACTCGATGGCCTTCTCTGCCTTGCTGGTCAGCTTGTGGCTCTCCAGGTGGTTGTGTAAACTTATCTTCTTGTTGGTAGTGTAATCGCAGTCAGTACAGCGGTACTTCTTCTTCGTAAGGTGTTCTGGATGGTTTTTCATGTGTCTTTTCAAAAAGCCTCGTGACTTAAACTTTTTCCCACAAATCATGCAAGGATAGACAGTCAAGGGATGTCCATCAGGGCCAATAATTATTGCTAAGAAAGGAAAAGAGAGGAGCATGAGTGATCAAACCAAGTCCTGCTTTGGTTTCTTCAAGAATTTAGAAGTGTATGTTCCAAACATTACTGGGCAAACACTCCTATGTTAGGCTATTTTCTCCTTAACATTCTTTTCACCGTTTTTCAACATAAGAGATACAGCAGCCTCGTCATAAAGAGAACCTGGTCTGGAAATTTCATTCAGTATGACTGTACCAATCTCACTGCCTCCAGTTTAAAAATAAAACGAAATGAATAAATATGTAACTTCCATCAACTAGTGACTAAAGCTGTAACAATTTAGAGACTGGTGGGAAATTATTGGTAAAAATTAAGTTTCATAGTCATAACTTCTGCTTTAGTGATTCTAACAACATAACTTATATCAATTAAAGCTTAAATACACCTATAAAATTTTAATATGCACATCAGCATACAAGAATAGACAGGAATGTCACGTGAACTGAAGTACTTGTCCTGTTGCTCTTTATATTATTCCTGCTCTATGCTGACATAATCATATTCTTTAAATATATTAACTTAGTTTTTCTAAAAAAGTCAATGCTTGCAACATATTTGAGGGATTTCTTTTCATTTCCACATAAAAATCACCCAAGTTTTGAATTTTTTCATCCATGTTCAATCCATTCCCTGTTTTCTTTTTTAACCAAGGAAATCATTCATGAATATCACTTAATTCTTAAAATTATATTTTCAAGTTCAATACACAAAAGCTCTATGTGGTCTAGCAGCTAAAATGCCATCACAACACCTTTGTGGATACATACTAGAGTTTCATCTGAGAGCTCGCAAAGCACGCTGCGCTGTGGAACTCGTGTGCCCTCACCTGTTTGGTACTGCCTGGAATCAGGTCTTCTCCTTTTCTTTGGTTTTTGTTTAGCCAGTCTGCCGAGCCCAGCAGACTCATCTATGTGCAAGAGGGCACTTGCAGTGCCATTCCGGTTTTCAATTCCATCAGAATTATTACCTAACAATGCGCATTAAAAAACAAAATTATACAGTATTATAAATTATAAAGAATTAGGGACTCTTTATTAACTACAACAACGAAAGTAAGCCATGATACTCATGAATGACAGAGATTCCCCATTCTAGGTAATGGGTTTTACGACCACTTATTGTATCAAGACCGTAGGAAATGCCTAGCTTCCAAATCTAAAAAAAAAAATGTCAGCATTTTGCCCCATGGACTCCCTTGTTGTCTCCCAAAATTGTAAAGTCATTGGCCACATATAATCAAGATGAAAAGTTTCAGCTTGAAAGCCTGTGTACTTCTTGTAGTACTTCCTTCTACGTAATATACACATGAAGGAAATTCCTGTTAAAAATAAAGACAAAAAGTAGACTTTATAATCTTCCTCTACTCTTGTTCAAATCAAATAACCCTCACAGGGTACTGGTATTTCAGATGTGTGAAACCTAAGACCACAGAAACCATTTTTCAGCTATGAACTCACGTTCAAGGACCACTTCAGTGCCAAGAGCCGCTATGTGACTTACCGTAAGCTGCTGCCCATGCTATTGGCATGAAGGTTTTGATTTCATTGTCATCAATTTGCTGTTCATGTGCAGCAGCTGCTGCCGCTGCTGCAGCAGCGTCTTCCTCTCCTACAATCACTTCCATATAAACTTCATCAGCGATTTCAGCAACATCTAAGTGGAAAATTACAGAAACTTACGTGACCAGGTTTACACAGATCCCAGGAAAGACAGTTTCATTTGAATTCAGTTAACAGACAAGAAGGTTCAAGTGCTATATACCTAGGACACAGCTTTCATGTAGTGAGCACTCAATAGGTATTTGCTGAATGAGTCATACATTTCTTGGCTTTCACCATAATTTGTTTTTAAAGCAACATTCTAAGCATACCTAACAAGTCACTGATGTTTCCTATGAAATATGGCAGCATAATAATCTCTACAATAATGTTACTTTGTTTCCTTCAAATACTGGCCATATTTTAAAAAAATAAGTTAAGAGTTATAGGTACACAAATTTCTCTCCCACAGAAAGGCCACCTACTTACTTAAATCTTCATCTTCTTGCTGAGAGTCGTTGACGGTCATATAAACCATCTTTTCCCTTGGCACACGAAGACTGCTATTCTGATCAAGTAGTTCAACTCCATGATCATTCTCAGGTTCACTCTCCACAATGTCTACAGTGCCACCTATCAGGAAAGATGACAACTCGAAGACTTATGTGAAAACTTCATTTCCACCTGTTTCACTTACTGCATTTCACACACATTTCTACTGCTACATTGGAACCCTCGCTTAAAAGCTATCTTCAGAAAAGATTTTAAATAGTCTCAGTCTACACCACCAAAAAGTAATCAGGTTGAAGTGTTTGATCAGGATGAATAATATGCTGAAGGTTTCCTCTTACCTAAGTCATCCTCCCCAGGGTCAGCTTTAAAAATGTACACCTTGATGACTTCAGGGCAAGTGCCATCCACTTTACAAGGATCAATTTCCGACTCTGCGTCCATGGTCATTCCAGAGGAACCATCATGTTCTATTTTGCCAGCATCATCCACTGAAAAGGCAGGAAACATATTACAAATAATAATAGTAGATTTTTAAATAAAATGTTACCATTTTCAAAAAGCCCTTTTTTACAAATATAATCTCTAACTTGATTCACATAAAACTGAATGACTTTACATAAACAATGAGACACGCAGGGCACGGTGGGAAATGTGGCTGACTGCTACGCTAAAGCCAGGTCATGGAGGGTCAAAGCCTTCAGACTTGACCCTGGTAGACAGGAGGTTTCTCAGTCTGGTCAGGTGTTAAAATCTCTTACGGAACTTAAAAACACAGGCCCCAGACAAGCAGCTCTACAGGATCAGAATCTGTAGGGGTAGGGCCTGACAGACAGATTTAGAGGTACCCTGCCCTAGGGATTCTAATCAGAGGTCTGAGAACCTCTGCTGCAGGTGGTAGGCGCCTGTTAAGCAGGGCGGTGACAAGGTCAGGTTGCCATTTTCGCTCCACCATGCTGGCCCTGAAAAAGGTGGACTCAAAGGGAGCAAGACATAAAGCACAGATACCACTCTTCAGTCTATTACAATAATGTAGGTGACAAATGACAAGGTCTTCTATCAAGACAGACGTAGTATGGATGGAGAAGAGGGTCAGACTTCAGTCCAATCTTAAGACTGATGTGGTAGAACCTGGTGCTCAATTGAAAACTGAACATGACAAAGATAATCATGGGATTTCTGATATAATGACTGAATAACTGGGGGAAGAAACGGTAGGAAATTAGGAAAAGGAACACTTCTGATAATTAATTTAAGGTCCAAGAGGGTAACATCCCTAACAGCTTCAGACTCAGTGCCTGTTCCTATGCCTCTATACTCACAGCACCTTTTGCTTCTCTCCGAGTATAGGATTCATTGTATTGTCACTATCTGGGGTTTTTTTTTGCCCCATCTTTCCCATTGATAAAGCAGAATCTGTATTTTTATTATTCAGTCTTCTAAGACAGAGTCTGGTTGACAGTAGATGCTCAGAACACTGATGAATCAATGATTCAAGGAATGACTGAGATGTGGCGTCCGTTGCTGGATATTCAAATCTGAAAGCTGAGAGCTGACCCACAGATTTGGGCGCCATCAGCTCTGTGTTAACTAAGCCTTGAGATGACAGTGAGAACCTGCAGTGTGAGCAAAGAGTAGGCTGAGGATATCCTGGGGAATGTCCTAACTTAAGGGAGGGACAAGAAGAAGAGTTCACCAAGGAACCTGGGAAGGGAAAGTTAGGTTGGTGGAAGGTCATGAAGGAAGCTAGGGAGTAAAAAGTTCCAAGAATCCTAGTAAGGCCAGTGGCAATAATGCAGCAGGCACAAAAGTCAAGAAGGAATGTCTGCACTTACTAGAGCAACCCGGAAGCCACCGATGTTCCCGGTGAAGAGCAGTGTAGTGAAGGCTATATGGGGTCAGGTTACCGTCGAGTTGAGGATTCAATGGAAGGTGTAAAATTCTTCAAAAAGTCCAATTTAAAAATGGAGCATAAAGGGGTAGTAACTAAAATGGGTTGCAGAGTCAAGGACTTTTCTGTTTACTTGATAAAAACATTCGTGCACACTTGGTCTGTGAGAGAAAATATAATAGAAAGTGAGAGGCTGAAGCCAGAGGACCTGGTGAAATTCTGGGACCAAGATCTCAGAAGAAGAGAGAGATGAAACCAGGCATAAAGATGAAGGAATTTTCTATAAAACGGGGGAACAATATGCCATTCTTCTGAGATCTAAGGAGGTAAATATGGATAAGAACGCAGCTTATGCTGTGTTTAGAGGGGGAAGATTGTAATGGCAGAAGAGTTGAAGGAGTACATGATCGGCGGCTTCAACTGTGGACATGAAGTAGGAGGTGAGCGCTGTGGTTACCAGGAAGAGAATGGTGAATGGGTTAAGAGCTTGAGAAGCTAGAGACAATGAGCTGATCAAGGACAAGCTTAATGATATGAAGGTGCTAGCTGGTTAAACTCTATGTGGTTTCAAAAAGAAAAAGAAAAACAAAACAAAAACAGGTTTCCTGAACTCTGAACCTAACTACCTAAATTCAAGTATTTTGACTCTGCTTTATACAAATGGTTTGTAGAGGAAAAGAATTGGCATTATGTCCTTATTTTCTGGTCTGACATGTACTTACCCTTTTTTTCAAAGCTAAATACTTTTATGACAGACCAAGCTGACTGAGTCACTTATTTTCTTAAAGGTGGCTCTGGAATTTCAAACTGAGATAGCATTAGAAGGCTGTAGATCTCACCAAACTAGAAGGAGAGTTCTGAATAAATCAGTACATCTTCAGAGAACTGATCTCTGAACAATTTGATACTGTTGATGAAGCTTGGCCTCTTTGGGCAAGGTTTGTCAAAATGGATTCTAACAGGTACTGGAAAATCAAATGTCCTTGTGTTTACAAAGAACAAGGTCAGGCTAGCTGTTTTTGCATATGTTAGCTTGTTGTACTTGTAAGATAAAACCTTTTCATGACCAGAAAATCTAATCATTTTGGAGCTTGCAAAATGTCATGCACTTACCAGTAACTTAAGAGTAAAAGACCTTTATTTGCTTTCATAAATGTGTGGGAAACACATCTGAAATATACAGGATTACCTGAGCCGAGCAAAGTTACTCTATTATTAGACAAAAGTAGAATTCACCTTCAGATTTTCACCTTGAGAATTTGTCCTACTAACTCAATCTACGAAATTATTCCAAATATGAAATACTATAGAAGTGATTTGTTACACACACACACACATATACCACTTTGATGGTACTGTTAAGTACTAAAAATTTCACTGTGATTTTAAAGATACCATTAAAAATGAATTTCTAAAAACAGACAAAGAAGGTTTCGATAAAGCTGAGTCATCATACATGATTTCTGCATAAGTGCCTTCTGCTGTTGTAATGAAGAACTAGAGCTTTAGAATAAGGCCTCTCCAAAATAGAAGAGCGTAATTTCTGGAAATTAAGAACACCTCTAATAATAACTACTATTTGCATGGCATTTTGCAATTTCCTTAGCATTTCTATGTACTTTTATTTCATTTGATTCTCACCTTTTCCAAATAAAGACAGGAAAGCTCTGAGATGATATGCGATTTGCCAGTTGGTATAGTAAGTGAGGAGTAGGAGAGTTAGGAGGTGCCTGTCTTTAAAACCCAGACTTTTACTTTCATTTTCTGATTTTTTGAAGAACTGTATGTTCACTGGATAAAATTTAGTATTAAAAATAAAATCACAAATAGTCCCACTAACCAAAGATTGCATCATTTGTTAGTAAATTTCCTTCCCAGTTTTTTCTTTTTTTTTAAATAAAATTGGCATCATATTTCCTCAAGCCTTATAATAATAATCTTTAGGGGGTGGGTATGCTTAGCAGTAGAGCACAAGTATAGCAGACACGAGGTCCCTGGTTCAATCAATCGCCAGTACCTCCATTAAAAAGATAATAATAATAAACTTTTCATCTCATCCTGCGTTCTAAACTTTAAAACTGAAGAAAAATTTGACTATCAGTGATCTCACTAGCAACAGCAAAACTGTAGCAAAATACAGGCATACTTTATACTGCTCAAGGGAGCTTCAGTGAAATCCCTCGAAGGCCAAGGTGGACCTTCTCTACTAACTTTCCCCTCCTACTTTCCACATTCTCCTCTCTCCTCAAATCCCTATTATCACCTCACCTTCTCACTCTCAGTTGATCATCTTCTGTCTTACTTCACGGAGATTAAACAATCAGAAGAGAAGACCCGCTGTCTGCCACACCTACCCACTGACCAACAACTAAACCCAGACTGGTACCACAGACAACCCACCTGTGTTCCTAGCTAAAGCCCGCCCTTTCTTTCTTGTTCCAGCACCTCTGCTGCCCTCTCTCCCTCTAGATCCTCTACTACACATCATTTTCTTTCCTTTTTTTTTTGGGGGGGTGGGGGGAGGTGATTCAGTTTATTTAATTTAATTATTCTTAGAGGAGGTACTGAGGATTGAACCCAGAACCTCATGCACGCTAAGCATGCACTCTACCACTGAGCTATACCCTATACTTCGCCCTACTAGATTATTTTCACCAGCATACAAACAAGCTATTCTTTCTTCCCCTTTGAAAAACAAAAACTCTTGATCTCCTTTCTCTGCCACCTTCATTTCTCCACTTCCTGTCATTCTATATCCTCTAAATTCACTTCAGTCAGGCCCATGACATCCCCAAAACTGTTCATCAAGGTTGCCTGTTCTCAGCCCTCATCTGACTTGCCTTGGCAGCACTCTCCTGTGATTCACTCTCTTCACTTGGCTTCCAGGACACAGGCTCTTGGTGTTCTCCTTCCTCACTGGCCATGCCTCCTCAGTCCTTTGCAGGAACCTTCTCTTACTTCTTAATGTTGCAAACCCCACGGCCTAGTCCTTGGTCTTGGTTTATCTACAATCCCTCCTTTGATGATGTCATTCGGCCTTATAGCTTAAATTTCATCTATATGCCAACAACTCTTAATTTTGCATCTCCACTCTAGGCCTTTTTCCCAAAACTCTGACCACATTTCTAACCCCAAATCCTCCTTATACTCCTTTTTACCTCCTCAAATATGTATCACTTATTTATTTATGTCTGTGTACCTCTGCTAGAATACAATCTCCAAAAGGGAAAGGCACTGTCCTCTGTTTTGTTGACTGATGTATCCCAGGTACCTACAATACTGCCTGACATATAATAAGCACAAGACATTCATTTGTTAAATATACAAATGCCGATCTTCAAGTAAATGTTAGTCGTTATGGCATCAGCTCATAACCCACTAAAGAAAAAATGTAAGAACATTAAGAGTCATATTTTGCTTATAACACATGAATCAATTTTAAAGCCAGTATCTACTATCACCTTACTATGAAAGATGTAAAAATTAAGACATTTACACACCTCCCCTTCCCAAATATTTTGTTAGTTTTATATTAAGTGAATTCAGTACTCATTACCAATGCTTTTATCAGAGTCTCTCCATTCTAGAGTTCTTTCTACT